ATGGGAATCTTACGTTGCAAGGGTGGAGACTTACTTCCGCGTGAATCAGATAAAGGAAGATGGTCTAAAGACTGCCACAATGTTGTGCGTTTGTGGGCAAGACGCCTTTGAGATCGCCGAGAATCTAGTCGCCCCGGCCTTGTTAGAAACTGTTTCATACTCTGATCTGAAGAAATTTTTGAAAGAACACTTCCAGCCCAAGCAATCTGTTATTGCTTGGAGGCACACATTTGAACTGAGAGATCAGCAAGCTGGGGAATCAGCAAAAGAATTTATTGCAGCCTTGAGAAGAGCGGCTAAACCGTGTGAGTTCAAGGATCTAGAAGAAAGGCTACGCGATCGTTTTGTGTGCGGACTGAGGAACAGAGACTTACAGCAGAAGCTGTTTGCTAAGGAAGATGTCTCTTTCCAAGATGCTCTGCGAGAGGTTATGGCAGAGGAAGCTGCAGGTGGAGCGGTAAAGAATCTGCGGCCCACTCGAAGCGCTCCAGAGACTGCAACCATCCACAAGGAGGACGTGCGGGAGGATTCGGAAGAGGATCCTGAAGATGAAGTGGACAAGCTTTATCAAGCAGCCGGAAGGAGGCCCAAAGATCGTCCGGACAAAGGCCCAGCTGAGCTTCGATGCTTCGGATGCGGAGGTCGCCACAAGCGAGCGGAATGTCGGTTCCGTTCCGCCATTTGCCGAGCGTGCGGAAAGAAAGGCCACATCGCTGCGGTTTGCCTGGGTCGACAGAAGGTACAACTGAAGGAAGAATTGAATCTGAAAGGTACCAGGGTCCCCAGCCAAAACAGGGTGGGTTTCTGTGCAACACGCAGGAATATATTAAGAATAGGCACACACAAACCCCTTAAAAAGAAATTGTCCCTTAAAGTAAGACTGCAAGGAGTTCCATTGTCTATGGAACTAGACACGGGGTCTGCCCTATCCATAATTTCCCTAAACACATTTCACAAAATCTGCAGCAGCAGTGGCCAGCGAGCTTCGCTAAGGCCTTCTAATGTAATCCTTACTGATTTTCAAAATTCCAAGGTGTGCGTTAAGGGGGAGGCCACCCTTAAGGTACAGTATAAGAATTTTGAAGGCCTCTTAGACGTGCAGTTGTTGGGGGTGAGCGCACGAGTCTGATTGGACTCAATTGGTTCGAGGCCTTAGGAATCCAGGTAACAGGGTTGCACAAATTGCAAACGGAGACCCTTGCAGATGTCTGCAAGGAGTTTGCAGATGTGTTCAGTTCTGAACTAGGATCCTACAAGGGACCTCCAGTTTCACTAAAGCTAGACTCAGCTGTACAGCCCATAAGGGTTAAACCTAGGAGAGTACCATTTGCTCTTAAGGGCAAGATTGATGCTGAACTGGACAAGTTGCTCCAGCAAGGCATATTAGAGCCTGTAGACTCCAGCCCGTGGGAAACTCCCATTGTAACGCCTTTAAAGGCAA